ATTATTATTATTATTATTATTATTATTATTATTATTATTATTATTATTATTATTATTATTATTATTATTATTATTGCAGTCGTTATTATATGAATAATTAATATAATCATTTGATGATTTACTGTTGTGACGATAATTGATAGACGGTAATGTTAAAGATGAGGATTTTGTGTGCGCTGTTGATGGGAAAAGCATCGAGGCACTTTTTTTATTGATATCTTGAGCACTTGAGTATGGTTTTAACGTGTGACGCTCTAATTCATCATTATTAATGGACGCGTCCTTTGTATGACCATCACCAAAATTTTGTTTTTGAGTATCTCCTGGTAGAATGGTTTTATATTCAGCTGAAGTCACGGCAGTCATATCTGATTCTTGTCGTTCATGTGTTGATGATATTACCGAGGAAGGTTGAGTTTTTAAATATATGGAGTTGTTGGCGGAGCTACTATCAATAGAACTTTGTAGATTCTTCATATTATCTGGTGAGTATTTGTAATAACTTTTTCTAGACATTTTTGAAAAATCATAAATAAGAAACTTTTCTTCCATCATTCGAACTTCCTTGGAAAGTTCACTAAGATCTTGATTAGGATTGGCACGTTTCCTTGCTTTCAACGGATTGTCCTCCAATAATAATTCTTCTAATTCATGTGTTGCGTCAAAATTTGCGCGTTTAGACTAAAACAAACCAAAATAATGAAATGGTGATATTATTAATATTATCAATATTAACATTAATATTATTAATATTGATATTAATATTCTTGCTCGACTTACATCAGGTATAAATGGAGGGGTTGCTTGTTTTGTAACAAGATTATCCCATTCTATATTACTAAACCAAGGATGCTGTTTAATTTCATCAATACCATTACATCCTAAACGCTTAGTTATATCTCTTTCACAAAACTAAAGATTTATATGTATATATATTAGTAACAAATAAATTTATAAATATTTTATTTTTTATAATAATTACAATAATAAACATACCCTTTTTAGAACATCTATACAATCTTCAGAAACCAATTCATTAACATTTTCAGGAAAATGGATAGGCTCGTTAAGAATTGCACGAGTTAAAGCTGTATTTGTTTTTCCACGAAATGGTCGCTAGCAATATTAATGTACGATTGATAGAATGATCGATTGATCAATTGATTAATTAACTGAACAATTTTAAAATAAATTTCAGTTTTCATTTAAATTGAAAAATTTAGTTGTTAAAAATACCTTGCTAAACAATAACTCATACATCACAACACCTAGTGACCACCAATCAACAGAATTAAGATATCCTTTCTTTTTTAATATTTCTGGAGCTTTAAATTTTTTTTGTAAGAAGTAATTAATTAATATTAATTTTATAATTTATAATAATTCCTAAATAATTAAAAAAAATCCCCATTAATTACCCATATATGCCATAGAACCAGCCACTGATGTAAGAGGTCTTTTTTCATTATAGTGAACTGCAATATTGAAATCAGTTAAATGCGCGTGACCATTTTCATCCAATAACACATTATCTGGTTTTAAATCTCTATATTATATATATATATATATATAATAATTAGAAATATTATTAAAAAAAGAAGGAATAATAATCAATTCAATTCCTTAGAATAATCAATTACCTATGAACAATTTTCTTTGAGTGCAAATAATCTAATCCTAAACTAATTTCAGCAACATAAAATTTCAC